TTCTCTAAGTTGTCATCTTATTCATTATGGGATTCCAGGCTAGGTTACATCTTCAAATAGGATACTTACCTAAGGCTTCTTCTCTCTCCTTCAACATCTTCATGTATTCTTTATGTCTCTGCAAGAGAAGCAAACAATAGATATTCCAAGAGTTTTCAGACCATCTCCTAAACTGCCTCATTCAAGTTGCTAGTTAAAATCCTGCCAACAAGAAGTTATGTATATTGTGGTAGTATAGTATTTGGTAGAATTGTGGTACTATGTGGTAATATTGCACTATCAAAGCCTACAAGATCTGGAATCTCCCTTAAAATAAACTAGTTTAAACCATGGTGCCCCAAACAAAGCTCTCTTTCCCCCCACAAAATCTTTGCCTCAAAATATAAGCCGTAATCTGAGGTACTCTATTTTATTTCCAAGCACATATATAACAATAACAACAATAATAATGTTGGAAGGGACCTTGGATGTCATCTAGTCCAACCTCCTGCTCAGGCAGGAAACCCTATACCATTTCAGACAAATGGCTGTCCAGTCTCTTCTTAAAAACCTCCAGTGTTGGAGCATTCACAGCTTCTGGAGGCAGGTTGTTCCACTGGTTAATTGTTCTGTCAGGAAATTTCTCCTTAGTTCTAGGTTGCTTCTCCCTTTGGTTAGTTTCCATCCGTTGCTTCTTGTCCTGCCTTCAGGTGCTTTGGAGAATAGCTTGACTCCCTCTTCTTTGTGGCAACCCCTGAGATACTGGAACACTGCTATCATGTCCCCCCTCGTCCTTCTCTTCATTAAACTAGACATACCCAATTCCAGCAACCGTTCCTTATATGTTTTAGCCTCCTGTCCCCATATCATATGCCTCTGTTGTTTAATCAGAAGTAAGGTCGGTTTAATTTAGTAATAAATTGGTATAACATATTTAGAATGGAGTCGAAATGGCGAGGGTAAGCTTGCTAAAATAGCAAGCAAATGCAGTTTACTTACATTCTTAGAGTTTCAATAATAAAAAGGCAAAATGAAGGCAGCTGTCCAAAATGTTTGAAAACAAATCACCCATTTTGGAAGGACACAATTCTGCCTTACTTCTGCAGCTGTTGCAGCCTTCCATTTTCCAGACAGATCTTAGATGAAATCATACCTCTTCTTTCATCTTCTTTTCTTCTTCCTTCAATTTGCGCTTTATTTCCTCCACAGCTGCTTTCCTCCTTTCAACCTTACGTTTGTGAAACCCTGTCAAGAACTCCCTGGAAAGAATAAGCACAGTATAGTAGACAGCAATAACTTAGGGTTAATGCAATCATTATTCTACAAATAAGTTATCCTGCATGATCAGTAGCCAAATACATACAAAGTTTTACCTATAGGTAAAAGCATATAATGCTTTTGTCCATATTAAACATTCCCATGTAGACATCCCATGATGTAGTCATAATGTGGGCTAACTCAGAAGTATGGGCTGGTTCCTGCAATACATTTCTTAAGATTCTAAATCATTTGTACAGGAGGAAAAATGGCAGAACAGACTGGATAACCATAAAGTATGGAAGCTATGATTCTCTTTTTAAGCCTCTCAGAGAGTAATACAGATAGTCCTTAACAACTGCAATTAAGACCAGTAGCTCCTTTGCTAAAGGATATGGTTGTTAAGTGAAATATCACATGACTATGCCAGACTTATGTCAGTTCCACTGCAAGCATTAAATGACTCATCCACAGTTAAGTGTAACATCACCTGACTGACTTCCTGCTGGCTTCTCCATCAATTCGGCTTGTTGGAAACCAGATGTGAAGCTCACAAATAATGATCACATGACTGTGGGATGCTGTGACAGTTGCATGTGTGAGGACCAGTCATAAAACTACTTTTTTCAGCACTGATATAACTGAGCAATCTTTAGATCAGGCAGTTGTTAACTGAGAATTGTTTATAATTCTGAATGTCCAGGTATCCTTGTGTGATTCTGTTCCACTAAGTGAGCTAGCTTTCTTGCCAATGTAATTGTTGCTCATTATTTGCCATTTTATTTTAGGTCTAACTTGTCTACACGGTTAGACGGAGCACAAAAAGCAAAGTTTCTTGCTCCACATTTCACTTCTCTATTTGCCTCTTAAGTTGAAAGAAAAATCAGTTATGTGTTCTACTTGGCAGCACAGAGAAAACATTAACTCAGCTGCAATCTAAAGCATGAATATCTGTAGCTCAGATACAGCCTGTTGAAAGAAAAATCTTCATCGGGGTCCAGTCCAAGCCACGAATAAACAAAATGGAGACTGCTTTAGAAAGAAGGTTGTTGTTTATTGAAGAGCAGAGCCAGACAGAAAATGTGGCTCTGAGAAAGCTGACCACATGTAGTGGGGAGTGGTAAGTTTTTATGCCTTCTTGGGCTTTTGTGTTTGGAGTTGTTCCTGTGGCATGAACTTTGACCTGAGGTTCAGTGTGCCCTTCTGGTATTCTGTAGGTGATGGGTTAATCCTATTATGTCCTAAAGGTCATATCCTGCTTCCCTGGGGCTGTGGCTGATGGCTTACTTCCTGTGTTGGATTTTTTTGGTTGAGGGGTTGGTTGGGTTGGTTCTAGGGATCTTTGTCTTTCTAATCCCATCAGCTCTAAACTTCCTGGCTCGTCTTTCTGAAGGCATTATCAGATCTACATTTCTACAGACCTGGTTTCTGCTTGGGGCAGAGAGACTTGGGGTGTGTGGTTTCTGCCTAAGATTTTCTATTATTCCTTTGGGAAAATACATTCTGCTTTTTTAATATTCCCCAAAATATTTCCTTCTCTAGGAGGGTGGGTGGGTTCTGATTTCCAACAAGTCCTAAGCAAGAAGGATGAGGAGCCAAAAGCCAAGTAAACAAGTAACTGTGAATGTCAACTTCAAGAACGAAAATTGGATTTCACTCTTTGAAGAGTTGGTTTAACTATTTTGTGTATTGTTTCTAAACCATGACATCCTTGGCTTACTTGATGTCACCAAGATGAAGAAGAGGACAACTCCCATCATCTTCAGCCAGCATCAACCAGCCATTGATTAGGTTCTGTGAACCAAAACTGGAAAAGTTGGGGAAAATCTAGGAATTCTGGGAGTTGAAGTCCACTCATCTTAAAGTGACCAAGTTTGAAAAACATACTAAAGCAGGGGTTCTCAACCTTGGCAACTTTAAGACTTGTGGACTTCAACTCCCAGAATTCCTCCGCCAGCAAAGCTGGCTGAGGAATTCTGGGAGTTGAAGTCCACAAGTCTTAAAGTTGCCAAGGTTGAGAACCCCTGTACTAAAGCAACACGTGTCTGAACCTTGCAGCAAGCATCCTGTTCAGCGTTAACTCTTCTCTCACTATTGAAAGAGTCTCCCGGTAACTCCCCCCCTCCCCACGCAGGGGGGGGGCTTCCGCGGGAGGCATCTGCACACCGAAAGACTACACATCGCCCAGCGAGGGGCTGGGCAGCGGTAGATCTATTCGCCCAGCTTCTTCCTCCTCTCCCGCACTCACCGTCGATCCTTCTCGTCAAAACACACGACTCTCCGGAGCTTCGCATTCCCATCGCGCCGCTCCTTCTTCTTGCGGCCCATGCCGGCGATGACTTCTTCCGATTCCGCCGGCCGAAGTGCAAACCGGTGCACCACCTCTTCCGTTCCGCCGCCGCCTCCTCGATGAGTTTTCGTGGAAAGCTCCGCCTCTGCTCTCGGCTTTAACCATTCCTTGTCATGCTTGTTATATGTTACCAACTGTTGTTTTTTTTTAAGTCATGCAATCGCTACACAACTTTTGCCTAGGCGCAGGGGTAGGCAACCTCGGCTCTTTTATGACTCATGGACTTCAACTCCCAGAATTCCTGAGTCAGCATAGTTGACTCAGGAATTCTGGGAGTTGAAGTCCATGAGTCATAAAAGAGCCGAGGTTGCCTACCCCTGGCCTAGGGACTACCCTGCAGTATCCACAGTCGAAATATTTGGGGGGGGCCAAGAACCTAAATGCGGCTTCCTCCCGGAGACAATTTGTTTTCCCAATGCTTCAGCACGCTTCTGGTTAGCCAAAAATGAGCACTCTGATCATGTGGATAGCAAAGACTGTGTCAATTATACGCTAAATCATGCTATGATTATGGTTTAGTTTTATATGAGCCCAGCTAGTGTGGTTTGCAAGCTGTGATTTAAACGTGTGCTTCCATTTTTTTTT